AGAACTCATCATCAGAACAGATACAGAGTAGCAGCTTTGACTGAAGCAAAATGCTGCACAGTAAGGAGTGAAATAACTGGGAAAACAGATGCTTAATTTGTACTTATTTTTGGCAACCTTGTTCCTATGATATCTGTTAGATGAGGGGAAAAAAGCTGCTGAATGCTGCTTAGTAAATAATACATGAATGACAGCCACATTTATGGACTATCAGGGTGGCACTTAATACAGCCCTATTGAAAGTTATTTTTCTTTGATCAATCCACAGAAGGGTCTAAAGTAACGTTTCCGTATGGTTTTGTTCCTATTGTGCAAGATCTGGTGAACTACAGTATCTGAGACAAAGGGATTTAGTGAACTGAAGTGGTGTTTTGGGCTTGGTAGTGTTTTAAGAAGTGTCTTCAGCCCACCTCTTCAGCCTTGGGACAAGAGACTTATTAGCTAATTACTATGCAAACGAACTGAATGTAAATTAAATGCTACATCCTAACATAGCTTAATAGCCCCAGGAGCAAGAATTTAGTTAACTTTAATGGACTGTAATTCTATCCAAAAATATAGTTTATTAACAAGCACATACAATAAATTGCACCACTAAGTTTAAATAAAACATCTAGCAAGCTCACCTTCACACTAAGTGACATTTGGTTAATACAGAGCAAAAAAGCAATACACATATGCTTTCAACAGAGATAGAACAAACTCAGTTGCAATCCAAGTTCAAGTTGTAATCCAAAGAAGGGCATATAAAAGCAAAAGCAATGAAGACTTCACATGAGCCTTGCCATTTCTTTCCACCAGACCTTTGGTCTCCTACAAAACAGGTCTGTAATACAAAAAGTAATAAAAACTCTGGATTCAATTTACTCAGTCTCTTCCATCACAAGTTAACTATAACATTTTGCAACAATGTGAGTAGTATTAAGAGGGAGGTAAGAGGCAAAGATAGTTATGTCTTGGAATTACGCAAGTTCAGCTGCAGATAGAGAGGCTGCCTAGCAGCAGGCATGGACTTCAGTGTCATTGTCCCAGTTTTTGCGAGAAATACAAAGACCATAAAACACGTTCTTCTCTCTCATAAATTAAAACTTGATGCATCCTCCACTGACACCAAGGCAAAAGTTCTTCTGTTATCAGTGGTACTCTGATGGGGCCACAGTGGCCTTCAAAAAAAGGTCCTCCTCTCTAGTGAAAGGTTTGTCACTCTCCAGTCTTCAACTTGGCTGCGATGTCAGTAAAACCTGACACGCTGCTACCACACGGGTGTTACAACAGTCTCATCCTCCCTTCATGCCAGAAAAAGGGATTCAGCAGAATTCGATATGTAAGAATTGAAGCCAACTTGGCAATAAACAGCTCCACTCTGCTCAGTGTAAGACCTTAACCTCACCGCAACGAAGTAAATAGAAGGTTTGTAATGAACTTCAATAAGAGCCCAAGAGAAGCATCAGGCCAAAACAGAAAAATACGCACTTCTTGATATTAGACCTTGTTCTTCTCACAGGAAAGGACATTTGTATTTCTGATCCTCTGGGGGAGTAACAGGAAGGTTCCCAAGAACAGTGCTCCAAATCTAACAGTGTCCACGGTAAAACCGCTCAAGTAGTATTTTTAAACAAAGCCAGAGATTCCTCGGTTTCCTTTGTGGCAGAACAAAAAGTTACCTCTATAAGCAATAGGGTCCCAATTTTATTAACATGGTGCCTGTTATCACAACATAAACAAAAATTATGGCTGTGCTCCCTAATCACATTAGGAGTTAATCTTTACTCAGAAAAAAGGTATAGCCATATCAATGGGTTAAAGCCTTATTTTCTCTCATTTCTCTCCTGTACCTTTCTCTTTATAACACCTCGGAAAAAAAAAAATCCTAGAAACTTCTGCTCCCACTCTAAGCAGAGAGCTAAGACCTACTTTTATGACAAAAAGCCCTTTAAAAATGGTCATTTTTTTTCAACTGCTGGAACTAGATTTTTTGCAGTACAAGGCAAAATTTACCTCAACGTGAACTAACCTGACGAACAAGAGCAAGCAATCAAAAATTACCTAGAAATAAACGCATTAAAGAGAAGTCCAAGTATTGTGACACCTTGTATTGAAAAACAAGTGATGCACAGTTCAATCTGCAACAAGCTCCCTCTCCCCTCTGCAACTTGCATAGCTGGCTCTCATGTTAGCTGGTTATGAAATACACTTACAGTAGAACAACTTTAGAAAAATTTGGACAAGTGAGAATGGAGTTATTTTAATCTAGAACAATATCACCCAAAGATACAGATGAATGCAAACACTGTTTGTATCAAAAAAAAATCAGAGAAACATGAATTTAAGCGGCATTTTCAGTCTATATATTGGCTTTCCTCTTCCTTGTTTTACAAAAATAGGGTATGACATTTCAGCTTCAATTGCGTGTTTAAGTCATTTATTCATTGAACATTCCATTCTTGAAATATCATCCATTAAAGTGTTAGTTAAGATTCATCCTGCTTATAGAACAGACTAAATTTCTTCTGAACCGCACTTGTAGACAATATTAAAGAGACTGATATGAACTCAGTCAAAAAATAATTGGATTATGGGAAGAAGAAAGAAAAAAATTAAATAATAATAATAAAAATTAAATAATAAGAAAAAATTATCAAGCTCCATTCTTACTGACTCCTAATCAAACAAACGCCGATGCCTTGTAGCTGATCAAAAGATTTAACTCCAAAATAATATTTACAGACTGAATTCAGAAATAAACTGTGTTTTAGAGTCTATAAGTTGGTATAAAAAGAGGACAAATAAACTTCCAACAAAACATCTCCTTCAAAAACAGAGGAAGCCACAGTAAAAATAATACTGAAAATTCATGATCAGTATTGTATCAAAAATTAATATTTATAACACTACCGTAGTTCTCTTATCATCTATTTAAAAAAAAAAAAAAAAAAAGGACTCTGTACTACACTTGCACATTTCTGATATGGGTATAATTGTACATGGGCAGTTTACATCTCAACTGTGTAGAACTGAAGGAAAAGAAAAAAGCTGAAGATTCATTTTGCTGCTTCAGCGGTAAACCCCGCTGGGTGGGAAGGCCTGTTGGGGATACCAACATTGAAACAAATCAGTGAAATGACAAAGTCTGAAATCTAATAGTACAAAGTCTGTTTGGACATGGCTCTTTCCCCTACTGCAAAGCAGATTTAATAAATGGGATTTATTTTAGGAAGTTTCACAATTCTTAAACAGTAGATGATACTTGCATTCCTGAAGGATTAAGTTCTACATTTCTTAATGCTAATTCAACTCTCTAAAACCAACCCAATAAAACCAGCAGAGCTTTTACAAGTGACATGCAGAACCTAAAAATTCCACCCTCAAAAACTGCCTTTTTGGTACTCTCTTAAGCTCTTAAGATACTCTATTTATTGAAGAGATGCCAGGAATCCTGCAGCAGGAACAAATGCTTCTTTGGCAAAAGGAAAACATTTTAATGCCTCCTCCCTTCAAAGCATGCACACCTCACCACAACATATGCTAATATACTACCAAATAAGTCCCTTTATCTTGCCGTTTTTACAACAAACTGTTTCATTCATATCTATTTCAGCTTGTAACTACCTACTGCACAGAGTAGCACACTGTGCTAAATCAACAAGTACTTTATACCAAAGAAATAGAAAGTAAAAAAAACCCCACATTGTATTAAAAAAATAATTATATATTCCAAAACAAGTCAAGAGGGGCTAATTTTGTATAAACTGTTTCAGCGCAAAATTAAAACTTTAAGTCATGCAGGCATTTTGGGCCTTTTTCCCCATCCTTTGTCCTTTATTTAAAATTAACAAGATCTAACAAAAAAGGATTCCCACAAATATGATAGTGAGTGGAAATTTGTGCTAAATCTGCCATTAATATATCAAAACAAATGTTACAGCCCTTCTGTGAAGATATCTATGTATGCATATATACCTATGCATGGAGATACACATACGTTCCCCCGGATTTCCAGCCTTCTCCGAGGCACACACTTTCACAAATCAGCCAAATGCTGAATCTAGAAAAAGATGAAGACCAACTCTTTGCAGATCTATAGTCTGCAATTGTAAAAATATAATAAATATAGATAAATATTTACTGTCATATTACTAGTTTTCTTCAAGTGAAATTGATACTTAAAGTCGTCTTCTTCCTGAAGAACTCAAAGAAGCAAAAGGGGAAGTGTTTTTAAAAATAAAGAACTCCAGCAATGAAAATAAAGAAAACACACCCTCAAACATGCTGGAGCAAGACCACTTAGTGCAGGCATCAGTACCAGCCTTCTTTACTGAAACAGGATCTTTAGTCTCCAGTCATATCCTAGTTACTCCAATTAAATCAGGGTGGCTTCTAATGATACCAGAAAGAACGAACTGCTTTTAATATGTGGATTTAAATATCACAGTTAACTGTCAAAGACTTGGTATACAACTGGGATAACTCTCCTGGGGAAAATATTAAGATGAGAAGCTAAATTCTGTGGGAAAGTCACTGGGATCCATCAAAGGTTTCTGTAGGCTTAGATCTACACACTTGAATCCAGCTGTAGGGGTGAAGAGGATGGGGGGGGTGAGCAAGTTAAAACTCATTTGTCATAACTGAACCTTTTTTTTTTTCCCGTTAGAGGAATGAAAACTGCCTCAAATGATGCAATGGGTCAACCTGAAGACAGCCACATTTAAAAAATACTGGAAATCCTGAAGTCAGAGCTTGTGAATTTGTTTGGTTTGTATGCTGTCTTGGAGCGGAGAGAAGTTAATACTTTTAAAAGCTTAGTATTTACACTTCCGAAAAGTTTCTGCAGTTCATCCAAATTTGATAGGGCAGGATTTAAGTGCCTCTTAGTGTTCCCGACTGGGCACTTCTGCTGCTTTGGCACACACGCACACACACACAGTATTCCAGTACCAATGGGATACGACGTCTAATGCAGCTTTAAACTGGCAGCACTCCTGAGTAGTTTTAAATGTTTATCAACTCAGTAGGTCAAAAGTCTGCAGACACTGGGTGGAGCAGCAGTATGCCACAAAACTAACAGTTGTCCTCCTAGAAAAAAAAGAAAGGGGGGGGAACAGTTGTCAGTAAAGATTAAAGCTCCTGACCCCATTCAACAGCAGACAATATGCTGGTTTGTAAAATACAGGATTAGCTGATCTCGACACTTCAGAAAAAGAAGATTCATTTGCTCTAGATGAGTCCCTGATACAAAGGCAGGGAAACACTGCAGGGGTTCTCAAAAACCTTCTTGGTTTCTTATGTATTCAGTTTAAAGCAGCAGCATGTGGTTTTTCTTTCTGTGGAGGGTGTGGCTGGGTGTTATAGCCAGTAGGTTTAACAGCTAAAAGGAAAATAGCTGGGTAATTCTTTGCTTCAGCTTTGCTCATGTGTTTCTTAAATTACTGCTTGTAGGCATGAAATAACTGAAGTCCAGTGTCCTCCTTTGGTTCAGTCGAGTGAACAAACTGGGCCCAGATCTTCAGAAAGGGTGATCGGCAGGCAGTGCGGTCGCATTGTGCCAGGTACTACAGCAGGGGTGGCAACATGAAAGCATGATGCTAGCCTCACTGTGACCCTCCTCCTGCCCCCATCCTGGCAGGGACCTAGATATCTGCTTTAAAAATGTTAAGATCTGGTTTTTACTAATCCGGAAATCACACTTTACCCAGTACTCATGTCATCTGTGCTTTTTCAGATACAGAAATCCAGTTCAACACTCAACTATCCTTTCCTATAAGAGGATACAGAATGTGATACGGAAATCCCAACAGAAGTTACTGGCATGGATGTGGCATGTGCTAATCAGTGCTGTTCAAACATTCAGGATCCCTACCCTGCCTGTTTTCATGGTCACTGTAAGCTCTTTAGAACAGAAACCCTGTCCTTCACGTCTTTCTAAACCAGCTATCACACCTCTACAATTCCACATAATCTCACCATGTCAAGTGCACGAGCTACAGAGATAAGGATGACAGGCTAAACTGTTGAGATCTTATTTTCTGTGGATTTGCATCAAATGTCAGCTACTTAAGACTGTATTCATTAAGGCATTTTGCAGAACACAGTACATTCTTGTCTAAGGGAAGGAATGATAACCATTGTTTAAACAAATGAAAATCATGCAGAAATATGTATTTTCAATTAATATATTTTAGAATGTTAATATAGTGTTCTTCCAAAATAGCCCTAAAGTATGTTTTTGTCGAGTCGTAACTTTAATAATTCCTAAAGGTGTCTACTGATATGTCTATCATCTCGTAACTAAGTTCCACAATGAGCAATGCTTAGCAATTGATTAGAAAGTAGAGCGCTCTACTCTAGTCCAAACTCTCCCATTCTTGGATTATTTCAGATAATATAAGGATTTAGTGACCACCAAGTAGTTTTCTATCACTTTCTTAGAAAATTATACTGTTCAGTGCTTGAAAGAAATCCTTTATAGCATGATTATAACATCTTATGCCACTCTGAATATTAAGCCTGTAATGTGGAAGCAATTTATTTTACTCAACATGAAATCCATTGAATTTCAAAATATGACTGAAGTGTAACAGAAGGGCATGTTGAAGTATGCAATCTCTACAATCAGATCTTTCTAAGAAAGATGACTTTTCCAAAATAGCATTTATGCAGCCTTCTGGCTGCTGTCCAGATTTGGCATACCTAAGTTGTTTTCATTTCATAAAGTTGAATTGCTTACAAATCAGATACCTCTTATGCCACAAACTCACAGCAAAATAACCTGTGATACAGCTGTGGAAAAAATAGGTACCATCAATCTGAATCACGAAATAGTCTCTTCTTTTTTCTTAAAGATCTTCCTATTGAAAAGCAGTTTCTTATTTTTATGGAGGATAACTATCAAATCAATGGATTTCATCAGGACAAGAACTAAGTGGCATTCTTGCGCATTATATATACCAACAAGTAATTTCAGAAACATCCATTTTTAAAGCACCTTTCTTTTCTGCTCCCCACCTTTAGGCATATGCTTTATAACTAATGGCTTGACTTGATTTCTCTAAAAAGAACCTGAACATCACATTTGCTTGTTTAACTCCAAGTGACTTTTCTTTAAGCCTTCTTTATTAGGTTTCAAACAATACTGTACTTTTGTCCAAGTAGAACCAGTTGAAATTTCTCTGACGATAACTTTTGCATTGCAGAAAGTGGATTACTTGATATTATGGCTCATAGTAGGCTAC